GCTGGGGAATTCTGGGAGTTGAAGTCCACTCGTCTTGAAGGGTCCAAGGTTGCAAAACAGTGGTGTACATCATTTGAAATTGCAAATCCTACTATTCTCAGATGAATGACCCGACCCTTAATACACTCATTTAAATTTTGCTAGGAAACAAGACAAACTGTGTCCCGGACAAACTATCATCCAATAACCACCTGCTTTTGGATGTGACGGAGCATGCATGTAACATGTACATTGTAATCCTGCTTGCAAGGCTTTGCCCCTTGAATTCAGGGATAATGCAACAGCAATGCGTGTGAACATTGAGAAAGGGGCAATGTCCTACCTTGCAGGGCTGTTGTTACCGTCTCCTTCCGAGCCGCCCAATAATAGGCAGCCCTGCTTTCCGCCCAGAGACCATAAACTCTGAAAGTGTAGATGTGACTGCGCATTTGTTTGCCATGCTGAGAATCTAAGCAAGGATAGTCCCCCGTGGGAACGGATTGACACGCAGCGCGAAAGCCAGCCTTTGCTGCCGGGCATCGCTGTAAAAAAAAAAAAATGCCCGCTTGGCTGCACGGATTTGGAATTTGTACCGCTGGAGTACACCCGAAACAAATAAACCAAAATTCAGCAGGCCAACATAGCAACAGGGGACCCGTCCTCTCTTCCTTGCATTGCCCGTCTATAGTTTCCTACGTCTACGGACGCCGCCTTCCAGCCCAGCCGGACGAAATCCTCTGCCCTGACCTTCTGAGGGCAACGAGAGCCGCAGCGGGCGGCTTCGGCGCGCGAGGGTGACGTCACACGGCGCGCGACCCCAGGCAGCAGAAACAGGAAGAGCTGCGCAGCAGCCCCTTTTAGCAGAATTGGTGGGGAAGGTTGAGGGTCGTTGTGCGTCCATGCAGGCCGGGAAGACTTTTCGCCGGAGGAGGGTGGACTCCGAGGAGGAAGAGGAGGATGAGCAAGTGGCCGAGGAGGTTCGGTAGGTGCCAGTGGGGGCTTGAAATATTTGGGGGGGGGTAGAAATTTGCAGGGAGGTCCAAGAAGAGGCATTTTGCTTCTGTTCTCTTTGTCTTTCTAATCAACTATTATTCTTATTCTTATTCTTATTCTTATTTCTGTTCTATGGTTCTGCTCCCAAGATTAAAGCTGGAAGAAGCGAAGGAAGTACAGAGTTTAAGGAGGAGGCCAAACGGAGTCAGGTAATTCTCAGTTTTCCATGGAAGCCTTTTACATCAAGGCCATCTTTGGAGCGAGCCCAAATCGAGATTTGTGGTGGACTGTTCATATCCCTCGGCTTCCGACAAACATCTGGCGCTCCTCGTGAACGTGGTGGGGTGTTCCCACGCCGACCCTTTGGCTAGGAATTGCTTGCTTCCACCCCAACCTCACCGGCCTGTTGCACGGAGCCGCCTGATGGTGGTTTGTCAGTCAGGGTTTGGGGAGTGTGGGAACCTGATGAGGTCAAGGATGAGCAAGGATTTGAACATGGGGCTCCCTGATCCTAGTTTAGCGCTGCAGCTGTACTATTCTGACTCTTTAATGCTGACAATTATATATATATATATATATATTCCCAAGGAAGGAAAGGAATCTTAAACTATCCTAAGTACAGATAATCCCCAGTTTAAGGATGAATTCCGTTCCCAAGGTCTATCCTTCAGTCAAATTTGTACATAAGCCGGAACAGTATTATTGTATAATACTGTATAAAGTCTTACGTAATGAACTCGAACTATTGTGTATTGAACTTGAATCATTGTGTATTTAATTTGAATTTTGCTACAATAAGCTCCGTTCTTAACTATGGGTCGTCCTTAAACCGGGTATTCTTAACAGGGGGACTCCCTAACTATAACTCAAATTGACACTGGATTGTATTGTTATCAGATTTGACATAAAATAGGGAGGTTCTCTTAAGTCGCCCTAATTCTTTGTTCTTGTCTGGTTTTTTTTTGTCAAGTGCTGCAGCCTTGCTTGTTGGAGAGAAGCTACAGGAAGAGACTAATTTGGTGGTAAGATCAGAGTGGGAAGCATTGAAATGAGAGGCTGAAGAAAGTAATTGTGAATTGAAATTATTCTCAGTTCTGGCACGTCGTGTTGCGTCGTCATCTTAAGCAGGGCTGACAAAATTGCTTTAAGTTCATCATCGACAGGAGTGAAATTTGGGTCCTGATTTGAGGCAAGGGATAATAATCAGGGGCCATAAAACACGTGGTGCTTGTGAATAAAGCATTTTGAGTCGTGGCTTCAAACGTTGAATAGATTGGAGTGTTTTCTTCCATTAATTGTATCTGGACTTGCTTTCTTGTATGGATGCTATATGCATGAGAGGGAGTTGGGTTCGTCTGAATGTACCATAAATCCTTGATTTTACAGACTTGGGATTTAAGGCAAGGTTGTAATTCACTAAATCTGAGTATAATGCTCTACATTTGAGTCCAGACTTTGCAACTCCATCTGGACTAGATTTGTACGCTTGAAGTACACTGGGAACAGTTTACGCACATATAAAATGGCATTTGCCACTGACAAATATTTAGCCTAATTACAGGAGACCCTTCCCCGCTTTAGCCCATTCAATCAAAGGTTTGCTCTTCCGTCAGGTCCATTTTTAGTAATCATAACTGCTCATCTCAGCATGACTTACTACCAACTAGAATTTCATTCAAATTCTAAGCCTACCTTCTTAGTAATAAGGCCCAGTAAGTGGTTGCATTTCCACATGTTAAAGCCAGTTAAAGAATTAAACTACAGTATTTTCTGGATTACACTGAATCATAAACCCACCAACGTGGACTCTTCCGCCAACATGCTGAGCTAAAACAACTCACCAACCAAGGGGACAATAAACTTAGCATATTCTGCAGATGCTAAGTCTTCAATTAGCCTGGTTTAAACACAGCATCAGAGCTAACTTGTGCATTAGTACAATGCACAATTAGTACAAGTGCAGTGACTCACCCCGATTCAAATTTCTGTCTAGGCCTGCTCTTGAAAGAACAGAAAAATCCATCGCATTCAAAGAACTCCAGATCAGGAAGTTAAATTTCCATTTATTTTGCTTTTGCTTTGCGGCAGACCTGGAGATGTATGTCATTGCATAAACGATGTAAATCAGTGCAGAAAATGTAACGTGCATGGTTTGAATGATGACGTCATTATGCAAATTGGGTAAATCCCTGTGGCGAGGTTCTTTTGTATTTAACGGACATTTGGATATAACAGACACCCTGCTCCCCATCCCTAATGTGGTTGAGTGATGTGCAAACCCAGCCAGTTTTGGTGCATTCAATTAATAGTGATTAAAGAACTCATGATTTAGTGCAGTGTTTCTCAACCTCAGGAACTTTAAGACGGGTGGACTTCAACTCCCAGAATTCCCCAGCCAGCCTTCTGGGAGTTGAAGTCCA